ACGCGACCCCGCCGTTACCGAAACACTGCTACGTCGGAGAAGTGGGCTGGGGTCTGCAGTACTCCACTGCACTCAACAGACGAACTGTCATCAACTGCAAACAATATGAGGTTATTATATAGGCTACATGTACTTACAATTTCTTTTGGCAAAAACAATGGTAAGATCGATCGATATCTCTCTCTCTCTCTCTCTCTCTCTCTCTCTCTCTCTCTCCCTCCCTCCCTCCCTCCCTCCAAATATTTCTTGAGCAGCAAATCAGCATATTAGAATGATTTCTAAAGGATCATGTAACACTGTAGACTGCAGTAATGATGCTGAAAATTGAGCTTTGCCATCACAGGAATAAACTGCATTTTAAAATATATGAAAATAGAAAACAGTTATTTTAAATTGTAATAATATTTTACAATATTACAATATTTTACTCTATCTTTGATTAAATAAACGCTGCTTTGCCAACCCTAGACATTTGAACGGTACTAAATATAGTTGCTGTTAATTAACCTGCCCCAAAATGAGAACTTACTTTATATGACCCAAGGACATCATATGCATCTCAGTGTCTCTTCTAGGATCAGATTATAACTTTGTGTTTGTTTAACATGTTTTTGTTTGTTTGATTTTTAACAAATCTGCAAAGACTAGTTTTGATTGTCTTGTATCAGCTCGACAGATTTCAATCAGCTGTGCAGGACGAAGTGCCTCACGGCCCATGGTGATATACCAGTAACCAGGGAGGGAAGGGTTAGATTACCTGCAGCTCCCCCTATTACTCTAGATGGTGATGGGTTTCACTGGCAGGAAATGGGTAGAGTGGATGGAGATGAAGCTTTTCTCCTCTAGTAATCAATAATTCAACGCTTGCACACAGGCAGAATCAGTCTCAGTTTCGGGACAAACAACCGACCTGCGGGAAGCTTGCTTGGAACCACAGCGCACATGATGCCTACAGCGAGGACGACAACAAACAGTTCCCGCTTAACCAGGTGAGATATGAACAAATGATACGCACTCTGAACCCAGTATAACCTCACTGCTGGGTTGCCCGATTGTTATATTAAAGGGTCATGAAACCCCCTGTTTCAGCACTGGTTAGTTCTCTCCACAGTTTTAAAAAAACGCTAAAAAAAAAGTGGGCGTGTTTTGCAGCGGAGCGGAGGAGGGGGGAGAGAGAGACAGACAACACACACAGCTTCGCGTTCAGACAGTTTCATTTCGCTCCCATAGAGTTAATAACACAAATTAACGCACATTTGCACTCTGTTTCGAAAACATATACTGTATGTGAACGTGCCGTTGCACCTCTGATAACATTTAAGGCTTATTCAGCGGCGTTTATATAAGCCTTTTGACGGGTTGTGTCATGGAGCTGTAAAAACGGTTACACTCACTAAGAGAAAGAATCGCGTTTGTGCCGAACTCCTATTACAAAGCAAAAACAAACACTCCTTCGATTCATGAACGTTTATCTCAGTTAATGTAGGCGATCTCACAGTCTGAAGCCTCTGTCAAAGCAAATCAACACATGCTGTTGTGAATAATTAAGCTAAGCGCCTTCTCATAGGATAAGAACACGCAGTCTCATGAATAATTTAATAGACCCCCACGCGTCATCGATGTACTATAGTCCATTGCCACATCACAAATTGTGACGTCAACACAACAATAAAATTAGAATTCAGTGTCTGAATATTGTGTAATCTTGAATTACTTCACTCAACATTCTCTCATTGTTCTTCTCCATATCTGTAGTAAAGACAGTCAATCAATACTGAGAAAGCACAACCACACGGCATTACTTTTTGACGGATATGGATCAGCTCTGAAATATGATGTGAGGCTTAATATGACATGATTCTTGAATGCTGGTTTGTGATCATTAAACAATTTATTATTCATATAACATTTTGTCAACTCTTGTAAAACCACATTAAATGTGTCTTTTTTTGCTGCACTGTTCATTTCTTGGTTCATTTGCCTCCATGTTATCAATTGGGGGAAAAAATCTTATTTTATTTTAATACATTAAATTATTATGTTTGTGGGTAGTACTAGAAGATTTATTCCCAAATGAATGCAAACATTAGAAAAAAGTAAAGCAACAAACTAGTTTTCTTCATTCACTTTGCTGTTTACCTCATATCTGTGGTTTAAATTGTCAGAAGCTTGTAAAGTCTCAATAATTTAGAGATCAAATCCTCTTAACAAGGGTCACTATAGATTCAGACAGTTGATAGGAACTAGAAAGCAATAATCCTGCAGCTAAAAGATGTTTATATGTGATCCTGTGTCTCTATCAGTGGTCAATCCCAGTTAATAATAGTACACAACTCACTCTAACCATTTCCAGTATCTTGAGACGAACAGACATGACCTTGTTCAGCTGCCATTCTCACTTTTTCATTACATGTTTGAGACTTTTTGAGAGGCTGTTAAGTATTGCCGCCTTCGTGGAAAATCTAGCCTGGATTTTTACAAATGATTATGTACAATAGTGTATTGTCTTTTAGCCAAATTTGTCTTTTCTAATGAAAATAGAAAAATCTGTGGCAAAGAACGTTGATTGCAAAGACCATTGTTCAATAATTGTATTAAATTAAAATGTCTATTAAAGCACACAGTGCAGGTTGGGATCAAACAATTCATAATCAGAGGTATTTATTTTGCAGCAGCCTTTTTCATTTATTTATTTTTTGCTAGGGGAAAAAAACTAAATGAAATAAAATAAATGTTGGCATAAAGTATATATATGTATATATATTCATGTATACAACTAATTCAAAATGTTAATAAAAACTATAATAGGATCTCAGTGATGCTAAAATAAAGTTGACATATCATGCTGAGGTAAAATATGGAAAGACGTTTGGCTGATTTTGAAAATGTTTTCATAAATATCTGACTATGAATAGCTGTAAAACCTTATATATAGGGGTTTATTTTTTCAAACAAAGCAGTGCAGCGCCTCTGTGTACTAAACTCCAGAGCAGTAGAGGGCGCTACACGCTCACTTATGCTTCAGTCACAACTTTACTAGTGCTTTCTTTTCAGAATATTCCAGTTACCCGTCCGTCCAGGCAGACTAGGACCCTTTCCCCTATCAAAATCAAAGAAAATGTCAAACCCAACTCCTGTAGCCAAGCCTGGAAACGCAGACAACCCTCGGGTATTCTTTGACGTAGATATCGTTGGGGAAAGAGGTCAGGATCTTTTGTAAGAAGCTGAATGACTAAATGCTTGTGTGTCCTGCCACATGCCTGTAACTGCTCAGAAGAAAGAAATAGATGCAAAGAACTCAACCACGGAGAACGGTTTAGAAAAGCAGTGTGAATTCTCCTATTTTGACATTGCATGGTGTTAGTGAGTGTTTGCTGTAGTTGTGCAGTACGTTTTATGTCTTCTTCATATGGGTTAAAATATTGTCACATTAATCAAGGTTGAAATCGTTTCGATTATTTTATCACAGTTGAGTGTACATTAACCTGATAAATATTACAGGCGTTTCTTAATTTTTTCCCCTTTTATCTAACCGGTATGTTTCCGTAATATCCCTACATAAATATGTTTTGTCAGTAGTAGAGTTACTAAATAACAACAAAAATACAATATACAAAAAGGCAATAAATAAGAAAAAAGATGACAGGTGCTGAAGGGAATGGGGGTGGTGAAGATGCTGGAGGGAATAGAAACAAAGGACGACAATCCTGTCAAGGTGACAACTTTTACTCCTTAAATTAATCAATGCGTTGCAACATCTGCTTTCATGCTTAGAAATATATAGCGACAGAGATCTTAACCAGTCTTGAAGGACAGCTATTTCTAAAATCTTTTTTTTATAGGCATTTAGTCACCCTAATCAAGATTTAATAGTCATGAAATTTAGTCTGTCACATGTTCTGCACAGGTGAACTAGCTTAGTGTGATAAATGATTGTTTTGAAAGAAGACGTTATGTGTGACCATTTCTCTCTCCAATAAGGAAATGGGAGTATTTTCCTTATTCCATTGAGCAACTGAATATTTAGATTGATTGTAACTGTTATATCTGTATCTCTCTCAGCCCTGCATCATTGCTGAATGTGGAGAACATAAAGCAGGTGATGACTGCGGCATCGCACCTAATGACGGCTCAGGAGACGCATACCCAGACTTCCCCGAGGACTCTAACATGGACTTTAAAGATGTCATTATATTTCTGTATTTTCACTTGCATATATCCTATATATCACCTGCACCATAAAATGCAGAATCACTTTAACTTAAACACATTTAGAGTTTATGCTCTATAAAGGAAAAAGGAAAGTCTTAGCTTTATAATAATACTTTTATTTTTACTTATACACCACTGCCAAATTATAATATAAATAACAGGTAAAAAAAAAACAACAACTTATTTTAAAATAAAATATAAATTTATATTATTTATATTCAAATAAAATATTTATATTAAAATAAAAAAATCAATTATATTATTTATAAATATCAATATATTATTATATAAAAATACATGTATATATATATATATAGCCAGTAAAAATAACTATATAACATATTACAACGTATTATATAGTATGATAGCTGAAATGTGGTTTACATGCTAAAAATGCAAAAAAGAAGAAACATTTTTACGTTTTCTTTCTAGGCAAACAAAGTCTTGTCTGTGGCAGAGGATGTGAAAAACATCGGGAATAACTTCTTCAAGGCTCAGAACTGGCAGTCAGCCATCAAGAAATATTCAAAAGCTCTCAGGTGAACACTTGTCGAGTCTGCCATTAAGCCCCATTTTTACATTACGCTTGCACCGTGACATTAAAGAGACCGCTTTTCACACTTGATTTCAATTTGTCAAACCTTTTTAAACATGCTGTTATAGCCGAGTTTTCTTTCCTCAAAATGACTCGTGTCATGATGACGTTCCCGTAAGTACCTGTTTGATATGCAAGATTTCTAACTGTGTAATCAAAAGTTGAGCGTTGCTATACAACACTGTGACTGCAACATGTCTGTATGCATCATTGTAACCCAGCAGTCACTTAAGGTTATTTTGGTCCACAGGTATCTAGAGATTTGCGGCAACACCTTAGATGATGATAGTGCCCAAAAGAAGCTGGAGCCCACAGCCCTGAGCTGCATTCTCAACACAGCCGCCTCAAACTGAAACTCTGGCAAGAAGCTATCGAGAGCTGTGAGTACCTGTTTGATATGCAAGATTTCTAACTGTAATCAAAAGTTGAGCGTTGCTATACAACACTGTGACTGCAACATGTACAAGATATGCATCATTGTAACCCAGCAGTCACTTAAGGTTATTTTGGTCCACAGGTATCTAGAGATTTGCGGCAACACCTTAGATGATGATAGTGCCCAAAAGAAGCTGGAGCCCACAGCCCTGAGCTGCATTCTCAACACAGCCGCCTCAAACTGAAACTCTGGCAAGAAGCTATCGAGAGCTGTGATGAGGTAACATGGGACCTTCTGACATTGAGCTGACTGAACGGTGTCCAGTTGCATCGGGGTTAGAGGATATAAGAAGCAACGGGCCTTGAGTTGTTTTATAGTGACATATTTTAGATATTCACCACGCTTGAAATAACCTCGTCACAGTTGCTACAATTTATAGATAACCAGATGCACTGTCTCTCTATTTAGGGAACAGTTGAAATGGATTCAGATTTCTTGAAAGGACCTGAAGTGTATTTTCTTCTGGTTTGTCGGGTGATTGTGATGTTTGATTTATTATAACATGTTTTTTTTCAGGCCCTGGAGCTGAACCAGACAAACACGAAAGCGTTGTTCAGGAGAGCTCAGGCCTGGCAGGGACTCAAAGAATTCAACAAGGCCATGGTACCCACACTACATAGACAGAAATACACATTCATCTCACTCTAAATCAGTTGTTCCCAAACTTTTTCAGTAAAACAAACAGACTACAATTCTCAGAAAAACTACCAAAAGTTGCAGATTTTGCATTCATCTTAAAGGCAACTGTTAATTCAACATTAGTGCTTTCCGTCAACTTTTTTTAAATTAGCCACAAAGATAGTTTGAGAACTACTGCACTAAATGCCTCAACGAAAACAATGAAATTCTGGCATTATTTACTCACCCACACGACGTTCCAAACCTGTATGACTTTATTTCTTTCCATGTTGGAAGAATCTGGATTGGAGCTTTCAGGCTTCAAAAAAGGATGCATTACGAATAATCTTAAATCTTTGACAGTTTCATTTAGAACTAGTTAAAGGGATACTCCACCCCAAAATGAAAATTTTGTCACTTACCCCCATGTCGTTCCAAACCCGTAAAAGCTTAGTTTGTCTTCGGAACACAATTTAAGATATTTTGGATGAAAACCGGGAGGCTTGTGACTGTCCCATTGACTGCCAAGTAAATTACACTGTCAAGGTCCAGAAAACTATGAAAGACATCGTCAGAATAATCCATCTGCCATCAGTGGTTCAAACCGTAACGTGCTGCTTGCGTTCAGCGCATATTCTCCAAAATGGCACTACGGTGATGCGGAGAGACACAGGAGATAAATTGTTGAATAAAGTCGTTATTTTTGTTTTTTTCGCGTACAAAAAGTATTCTCGTCGCTTCATAACGTTACGGTTGAACCACTGATGGCAGATGGACTATTCTGACGATGTCTTTCATACTTTTCTGGACCTTGACAGTGTAATTTACTTGGCAGTCAATGGGACAGTCACAAGCCTCCCGGTTTTCATCCAAAATATCTTAAATAGTGTTCCGAAGACGAACGAAGCTTTTACGGGTTTGGAACAACATGGGGGTAAGTGATTAATGACAAAATTTTCATTTTGGGGTGGAGTATCCCTTTAACAAGACTTACTATTCAGGAAAATCATTCAAGTCATTAGTAAACTACATATTCTCTAGGTCACATTTTAAGGGCAATTACTGAATTTAGCACAAAGACAGATGTTAAAAGTTTAGAGCATTTGGATGTATTTACATGTCTTACAAAAATATAAAATTGCATCAGTTTACTTGAGTTTGTTTTTGGGCATTGACTTAAAAGCACTAATTTTTTTCTGTTTTTAAACTGCAGATTGATCTGAAGAAAGCACAGGAGATCGCACCAGATGACAAAGGTTAACCAGCTCTTTACAAATCCTTAATTTTGTTTAAAAACATCTTTATGATTATGATTTGTAAATTATTATTTTTTTTACATTTTCCTTGCCCTGGTTTCAGCAATTGGAAACGAAATGCTGAAAGTGAAGCAGCAAGTGAAGGAAGAGAAAGAGAAAGAAAAGAAGATTTACACCAAAATGTTTGCGTAACGGAAACTGCAGTGACCTCACTCCACACCGACCTACCGGCATATGTTTACTTTGCACTTGTGTCTTAGTGTTTAAATCTAAAGCTGGGTAAAAAGGCTTTGGAGTCTCTAATTTAGGATATATGTCATGTGCCGTTTGGAAAGAAAGTCATATCGTCTGCTGTGTTAGGAAACAATTTGTCTGTCAGTGAAGGGACAGTTTCAGTGCATTTTTAGTGAACTGATTTAAAGATGTCTTGTATTGATTGCTGTTTAAGAAAGAATAGACTGACTTTAAAGACTATAATGTTTTTTGTTTTAACTGCTGCTCATTTTATCAATCGATGATGAAAAAAGCAAAACTTTTTCTTTGTGAAATGAGAATTGGTCATGTCATTTGCGTGAAATAAAACAATGGATATTTTCAGGGACTTTTGGGTTTGTAGTTCTAGAAAACATACCAACAGATTGGAATAATTCATTTATTTCTAACTGTTACAGTTACCAAATTTGACAATATATACAAAACTGTCAGTTTACAGTTAACTGCATCATGGTGAGCTAAAACCGTCCACTAGTTGTTAATCCAACATGATCCTTTTTCTTCTTTTATGACACATTCCTTAGACGTAATATATAAAATTCTTTCAAATGGTACAGTTTTCATCAAAACTGAAATTTGCAACACCACTTTACGTAATTACACTTAAAGCTCATATCAGACAGGATATGAGGACATTCTGTTCCTTAGGCACATCAGAAGGACTCTTTAAGGAAGGAAGCTTTAGCCCTGAAAGTTGAGTAATGTGATTTTGAACTTGTGCGATGTACCCCAATAATAAAAACGATACATAATACTGAAATCACATGCCGTTGTAAGCTGGTCCTCCACTGCCCTCAGGCACAACCCAGTTGATGTTCTGGCTGGGGTCTTTGATATCACAGGTCTTACAGTGGACACAGTTCTGTGCATTGATCTGTAATCTCATGCCATCGCCTGTCTCTAGAGGAACATACTCGTATACACCTGTGGGACAGCAGAGACAAAATGTCTAAACACTGGCAACTTGTTCAGCAGGCGTCTTCATCAACCTCATACTATCGAGCCTGTTGATCTTGTATTATTGTGTGCAACCGAAAGGTTAATTTGCAGGTTACCATTGACTCATTGCTAAGTGCAGCAGAGTGGATTAGTTACATACCAGCAGGACAGAACCTCTGCTCTGGGCCGTCGTAAACCGCAAGGTTTTGGGCCACAGGAACACTGTCATCTTTCAGCGTCAGATGGGGCGGCTGGTCATGCTCATGATTGGTCCCGCTCAAGGCTACAGATGACAACAGATCAAAGCTGATCTTTCCATCAGGCTTCGGATACTCGATGGGTGCACAGTCCTTAGCTGGCTTCAGCTGAGCAGAGTCTAGACCTAGAGAATATTCATTTGTTTCCCATTAGAAATAAAATACAAATGAATGGTGACTGATATCAGACACCCACTGCAGTAGTGAACTGAGAAGTAGTCTTGCATAGCAACGTGTCTGACTATCAGCATTAAGTCTGGCCCACACCGAAGCTAATTCTGTCTAAGAACTGCCTGCTCAGACAGGAAGGGGCCCTCTGGCTAGCCACAGTTAGTTCTTTGCATATAGGAGCAGGTGAATGAAATGAGACAAAACTTTGAAATGAGAACAAAGCAGAATATACAATTGTTCTCAAGTATATGTTGTTCAAACAATATTCTTAAATAAGGATTAGAAGCCTCCAAAAGTTTAGAAATGCCTTGGACGAAGTGAGGTTTTGGACAATATCAGAACATTTATTTTTCTACATTTTGAATTATTAATATTTTATTAAAGTGTTTTTAAATTGATAAGGAACAACATAAACTATGAAAAGTCATCAGAAAGTTGCAAGGAGTTATGCTAATATAGTCTAGTTTCTCAGAATTTTCACAGAATTGCTTAAAGCAGCAACCGAGTACCAAAATTATTACATGTAAATGTAACAGTAAATAGTACTTTGTGTAAATATTGTTATTTGTAAACAAGAGACAAAAAAAAACAACAGTAAAAAAGTAAAAAATGCACTCTTATTGTGTGTGTGTGTGTGCGGACTACACCCTATCAGCATGCCGCCTGGGAACGTCAGTTTAGGAATCGACTGGAGGAGAGATCATGGATATGAGAAGTTAAACAAGAAAAAAAAAAAAAGACAGAAGAAGAATTTAAATTGAGAATTTCAAGTCTGGCGCTGACATGCCTGGAAACCTCCTTCGTTGAGGGCTCTGGCTCCATATGCTATCCTGTTGCCACCCTCCAGGGTAGACATTAAAGAGGGGTGATGTTTCCAACGCTGGAATTCCCTGAACGGGCTCAGGTAAGGATTAGTATAGTCCAAACCTACCTGAGGAGACATGTATGAACATATCTGCAGTTCACCATAATAGAATAACTGCACTGACCCTTTGCAAAGCTCCACCCTCCTTGCTTACTGTTGCCTTACAGAGAGCTGAACTGGATGATGACATCACTTAATCATCAATGAACTGACTTTAGCTGGAAAAATGACTCTTTGTTATTGTCCTCTTGCATTATTGACAAACTATTTTCCTGTTTGACACTGTAAAGCTGCTTTGACACAATCAGTATTGTATAAAGCGCTATATAAATAAAGGTGACTTGACTTGACTTGCCTGCTAAGATGAGCCGAGAGAAGGACTACAATATAATAGTATTTGTCCCAAATACCCTACCATTCAAAAGGTTGAGGTTGTTTTTTTTTTAATGTTTTTCAGTGTCTTATGCTGACCTAGTCTGCATTTATCTGATCAAATATACAGTATAAACTATAATATTGTGAAATAGCTTTTTTCTATTTTAATATATTTTAAAATGTAATTTTTACTCCAGTTTTCAGTGTCACATGATCCTTCAGAAATCATTCTAATATGCTGATTTTGTCCTCAGGAAATATTTTTTATTATTATCAATGTGGAAAACAGTTGTGCTGATTAATATTTTTGTATAGGATTCTTTGATAAATACACTGAACAAAATTATAAACGCAACACTTTTGTTTTTGCCCCAATTATTTAAAGGGTTAGTTCACCCAAAAATGTAAATTCTGTCATTAATTACTCACCCTCGTGTTGTTCGAAACCCGTAAGACCTTTGTTCATCTTCAGAACACAATTTAAGATATTTTTGATGAAATATGAGGGCTCTCTGACCCTCCCATAGACAGCAAGGTAACTACCACGTTCAAGGTCCAGAAAAGTACCAAGATGATCGACAAAGTAGTCCGTGTGACATCAGTGGTTCAACTGTAAAGTTACAAAGCTACGAGAATACTTTTTTGCGCAAAAAACACAAAAATAACGACATTATTCCTCATTTTTGTCTGTACTGCGTCACTTGTGGACGCGCGTTCACGACAGTATCACGACGCGAGCATGTGGTGGCACTGACCCAGATCCGGCATGATGACGTCATTACGCCGGATCTGGGTCAGCAGATTTTTTTGTTTTGTTTGCGCAAAAACGTATTGACCCGTTGACCCCAGACTTTAGAACAGTAGTGTATCTCAAAACTGCAACTCCTCTGTTAGCAGCTCAGCAAGCGGGTGAAATGTATTTAGGGGACAAACAATTCAGAGCAATCATGAGATTTGATTTAGTTCTGTCAATCTAACCCTGCACTTGTATCTCCAGATAACTGTGACCAATCAGACTGAGTACCATCCCGGGCCATGACTACATTGGATAATAGCCATCATCACTGCGGAACTCCTCAAGACATCTGGAATTGAGACCATTTTCTACGAATCAGAAGCATCCCGTAACATGCCTCTTTTAAAAGTGATTGAAATTTTTTTTTAATTTTGATATGCTACATTATCAGCAGGATGAGAGAATGTCCTCATGACCCTGACCAGGAACAACTTCAAACTTTGAAAGCCTTTTCATACTCTCTTGCCTATCGTTTTCACCCATGAAAGAACATGATGAATGAGGTCAACAATATCTATACAGATCAAAGCATTCGGACAAAGACATCAATCCAGAACATTCTGCTTTAAGATAAAAGCTTCAAAGAGGACTCTTGCGAGTCCAATGAAATACTTCAATCAGAGTTTGACCCAGAAGGCTCAGGAATAAGATGATTTACAACAAATCCCAGGGCCACCAGTGGTTCTCCCTCATTGAGGTGGTACAGGAAGGAGCCTCCGTATGTGTTCCTGTTCAGAGGCCAGCCAACCGAGTGCTCTGCCCGTCCTGGGCGCCACTTCTTCTCATCAATAACCCAAAGCTAGAAGAAAGCAAATGTATTATTATTATTTGTATATTAAATATTGTTTATAATGTTTAAAATTATGTCTTTAATATAATATAATATAGAATTTATATATTTCAACATAAAATATATTTTATTACACAAAACATATATATTTTTCTATGTGTATATATATATATATATATATATATATATATATATATAGAAATTAAAGAATTTTTTAAAGCAATGTCATACCCAAATTTGTCCTGGGTTACAGCCAATTCAAAACTAAAACTTGTGACAGTGATAAAAACACCCAGAGCACCAAACGCCACATCATCTTTCGTGAGAAAGTGGGTCAAATGACAGATGACAGACTCACTAAGCCTTCAAAAATGCAGTTGTTTCTGCGGGTCGATTCAGCAGGTCTGTGTGTTGAAGGGCAAACAGAGATGTGGATCCGTCAGGCCCAGAGGAACATGAGCAAATATCGAGCCTGTCATCTCAGATTTGCTTCAGAATGTACTAATATTAACACTACATACTGATGAGACTAAAGTAGTTAAAGTAGAGACTAAAAATAGTTAATTAAAAATTGCATCAAGCTTTTCATCAAGCTTTTTAATGAAAGCAATGACCCCAAATGTGAAAATGAACTAACTGATTTCACTACAAATGTTGTCAGTGAAAGAGAAACAGTTACATCAATCTGAACATGGAAATATGCATGTATGCATGTTTAAAACATCATCCAAGCGAGAGTGTTTTTGTACCTCTTTGAGACCGATAGCATACGTCTGCGGTTCACAGTTCTCCCTGAGATTGAACTGCTTGTAGAGTTGCTTGGCCAGATGTCCGTGGCAGCCTTCCCCAAACAGAGTGACCTTAGCATGGAGCTCCATGCCTCTTTCAAACACATCCTGGAGGAGTTCAACAGAGCGTGAAATGTGGTGTTAATAGCACACGAATATGCTATCTGCATAGCAGAATCACTTTACCCACCGTTACCCTTTTATTTTTTCCTACTGCAATATTCCGCTGTAGTTCGGAAAGTCATTTAGCCTTGGTGTGAACATTCAATGGACTGTTTTAGACTTGAATAATTTTTCTTATGAATATAAAATCACATAAAAGGTGTGTTTAGTTGTATGTGTATTTAGGGCATTCGTATATTCTGATCTGGAGGGGATATTGACATATACAACCTTATGGTGATGACAAACCTTTGGAGAGCCATCTTTACCAATACCAACATCATTGGTTGCAATTCCCTTCACACTTCCATCCTCATGAAACAGCACCTGTGTAAAAAAAAAGAAAGTTTGATACGAGATTGTAAGCTGTAATGTGACAAGAGTAATGTGACTTTATCATAACTTTGTATTACAATGCAACTACTCAACTCTCACTGAGACTTTTAATCTCATAATTGTGACTCTCATAATGTGAATTCATGTGATCTTATAACTGCAAATTTTTATATCTCAAAAAACTTTACATCTCACAATGTGGCTTATTTTAAATGTTATTATTATTTTTATTTATTTGTTTATTACTTTTATCTACAGCAACTTACAGAACCCTTATAAAGCATTTCCCTGTCTTTTAACCAATTAACTTCTTATATTCCACGACTTTTCAGTTATTTTCGATTGCTGTATATTTAAAAAAATAATACCTTAATAGAGACTTTATACAGAATATATACTGCTTACTACAGAAACAGCAGTCCTGAAGCCTGTTGCATGAAGCCGGTTTCGGTTTTTACCCAGGTAAGTTCGCATTTAGATTAGAGTTTTCAGTCTCTGGAAGATGGGTTGGTTTTGAGCGGGTTTCGTCACCATGGTAACTTATGCTACACGGCTACCCTGCTCCGGAGCAGGTTTTATTCTGGGTTAGAGATCGCAAACTGGAAACTGGACCAATCAGCTGTAAGCAAAGGGACATCTATCTGATGCAATAAAGCCACTACCCTGTATCTCTTGCTTCAAATTAAAGCAGTTTATGGTGAAAGAATTTTAAAGACAAAATTGCCCATCTTTTGCTGCTATATTCATATGATATGAATTATAATTATTTGCTCAAACTTTTGCTGCAGCAACAGTGTTTATTCCTGCCTTGTAAATTCATTATATTTTTAATAACGACATCCTTAATCTTCAACAGAGAAGTAAATTGCGCCGACTCATGCGAGAAGTGAATCAAAACGATGCTATTCTGTGTGACTGGCTGTTTGCTACATGTGTCACACTTTCAGGTGCAAGCACCCTAGAGTTAATCACAAATTCTGGATCAAGCTCTAAGTTGACAGAGAACGTTTATATCGAGCTTTGTGAGCCCGCTGAACCTGATCTAAACAAGGTTGGATTTGTTTGGTTTTGTCAACATTAAACCTACTCTGAAACTCAAGAGTTTGTTCAACTAGCTTTATGCAACAGGCCACTGAAGTTAAGTAACATATTCCAGGTCATGATTATAGTGCACTGATCATCATGTGGGGTTTGGACCTACAAGAACTTTCAGTTATCAATCCAGACCTTTAGCAAGTACAGAACATCACTCACAATACAAATTACAAGTACACAAGCAGGCCTAAATAATATAAGCATTCAGATAAGGAAGGCAATCTGACCTCAGCTGCAGCGTAGCCTGGATACAGCTCCACTCCCAGCTCCTCTGCCTGCTCACCAAGCCAGCGTACAAAATTGCCCAGACGAACTAGGTAATTTCCATGGTTATTCATTGGAAGTCCTGTTCACAAATTGCATTTAATAGAATCCATGTGACTCAACCAGTCTTAAAAAGCCATAATAGTTTGTATAGGTTACAAAACCATTCAGGACATAGTGGCACATGTAGATCATATATATTTTGACATTATGTAACTCTCATTGTGTGAAGCTCTTTAAGTCTCTAAAGTGGGTCTTATGCACCTACCAGGCAATATTGGAACGGGAATGCGGTATTTTTCTGTCAAAATGGAAAACTTGTCCTCTGTAACTGGAGTGTTCAGTGGAGCCTGTTAGACACAAGTCAAAATCAGTGTCTTGGCCATCATGGGCATCTTTTTTTGTGGTCCATGTGTCATTTTTAAACATGCTTAAAAAATTCAGGGAGTCGGCCCAATTTTGACCAGTGTATAGGCTCTCTCATATTACCAAATCACATACATCCACATCACATACGCTAGAGCTATGCATATTATTATAGCTCAGTGGCTACTAGGCGACCCCATATCATGCAGTAACAGACACACACACACACAAATCTCTCTAGTTGTTTTTGTTGAAAGGAATGGCTATGCTGTTCTCTGCTGAATGTGCTCCACTGAAGGTGCTTCTGAAATAAATGAGGGTGCTCTAGCCTTAATACACATCTATTCTGTGCCATTCATAGCTATGGCACAAAGAGCACTCCCTTTTATAATCACTAAAAAGCTGTCACTCATTTTAGTTTATTGCGATCTCGCAAAGTTAAGTTATAATCAATATAATCAGCTCTCTACTACACTGTTCAATGAATCTACTTTTTTTTACATCGCGTCTACATTTTGTATTATGATTCGCAAGCATGCAGAATTCAGTGCTGGACAAAACTCCAGGTTTGCGAGCGGTGAGTGGATTCTAACATAAACGCCTCTTTCATTTAAACACCCCTGTGGGACAGGGCCAGTCCCTGCAATTCACCAAATCTTTTGCACACTCATCTTTTAATTTTATTTTCATTTTCTATCTGAAGCTATATAGCAGCAACATTGAAAAGCTCTATATCTCTGTTTAGCACGAAAGCTCAAGCAATTGCCACCGGCTTGCTGTGCAGTACAGTCATGGCGTGAACCAACTGACTTGTAACGTGTGCAATAGCTCACGACCTCCCGAGCGTCCGAATTCGCACCGTGTACGTCCGGATTGTTGTGTGTTAAGAGATCCTATGTGTGGTACAGTATGCACGTGTGTGTTTGTTTGTACCCCTCTCTCCTTCCAGTCTGGAATAAGCTCATTGAGAGCAGTAGCCTCTAGACAGGCTCCAGATAACGTGTGAGCTCCGATCTGAGATGCCTTCTCCACCACACAAACCCGCAGCTCCTTCTCATGCTGATTGGCCAGCTGCTTCAGCCGGATGGCTGCTGACAGGCCGGCTGGTCCGCCACCAACAATGACAACGTCTGCCTCATCAGCGAAGCGTTCCATTTCCACTCCTGAACATATAAAAACAGACAATCACAGTGTCAATCACAATTATCTGTTTTTAATACAAAAAACACTCAGTGTCATTAAATGCGAAATCCAATTGTGGTTTTGTCTAAAAATACAATGTGTGACATCAAGCATGGTTGTGGTTCAACCGTAATGTTATGAAGCTATGAGAATACTTTTTGTCTGCAAAGAAAACAAAAATAATGACTTTATTCAACAATTTCTTCTCTTCCGAGAGTTCACGAGAGTACCACGATGCATGCGTGTGGTGCTGCTGAAGCAGGAGCCGGCGTTCTGACGTAGAACCCGGATGCGCTGTGCCTTGTTTACAAGCAGAAAAAGATGCACGCATGTGTCGTGGTACTCTCGTGAATGGCTGAAATTGAGAGAAGAGAGAAATTGTTGAATAAAGTCATTATTTTTGTTTTCTTTGCGCACAAAAAGTATTCTCATAGCTTAATACAATTAAGGTTGAACCACTGATGTCACATGGACTATTTTATCGATGTCCTTACTACCTCTCTGGACCTTGAACTTTTCAGTTGCGTTGCTGTCTATGCAGGGTCAGAAAGCTCTCGGATTTTATCAAAAATATCTTCATTTGTGTTCCGAATATGAACGTCTTATGGAACATCTTATGAAGGTCTTACAGGTTTGGAACGACATGAGGGTGAGTAATTAATGACAGAATTTTCATTTTTGGGTGAACTATCCCTTTAAGTCTTCAGTTCTTTAAAGCAGACTTGAAAAGGAAAATAGAGGATGCTAATCTGATATGGAGAGGTATGGTATGTAATATTATAAATCATTATAATATATTTATAAATCACACAGACATATGGCATGCCATTCAGGAAATTGTGGTATTTATAATATGAAGCTTGAGTATATGAAATGGAATGAAACTAGAACATATTGAATGAAATTCTAAATATATGGAATGAAACTTGAATATATGGAATGCAAGTCTAAATATATAGAATGAAATTTGCAGTGTATGGAATTAAATGCAAATTTGACAGTACTTAATGAATAATAATATAGTTAGTTATATCCTTGTTACCAGAGCAACAGCTTTCTAATTTGAATGACTTTCAATTCATTTCATCAAATTCTCCAATACTTTGTTGAACTAGAAAAAAATTGGCAATAGCTAGTCATTTTCCAAACAATACAAAGAGTTTGGAGTGTACATCCCGTCATCTTGATTTCCATCATCTCAGACATTTCACACAGTACCCTATTAATTTTGACAGGAAATTTTTATTTAGTTTTAGTCTTTTGACTAAAATGCCATATAGTTTTAGTCATATTTTATTCATTTGAATTGTTTTAGTTTCAGTCTAGTTTTAGTCAACTAAATATAAGATTTTAGTCGACTAAATATACAGTAGATTTATTTGACTAAAATCTGATGAGTTTGATTAAATTGTAATGCATTAATTAAGCATTTAAGTATCACACAACTGTTACTTGAATACATGCCAAAACTGACATCTTGACATAACTGTGTGTTCTTGACCATTTAAGTGCAAAAAGACAGAAAATAGAGCTCAACTCAGTACTCATCAGGGCCTAACGCGTACTTTTTATGGTTCTAGTTAACTATAATAACCCTGATACTAGTAAAACCTATTTATTGAATAATATGTCAAATAATGTCCTTAGTCTTTCCTTCCTGTGACTGGAATCCCTGAAACAAGACCGAAATATTTGCAGGCAGTTCATTCAAGTTCAGATGAGGGAGATAAAATATGCATTCTTACAACTATCTAAAACATTGTAAAGTAATTCATCAGCATTAGTTCATAAGCAATTGCTTGTCAAAAATGTGTGCTATTCCTTTACTGCAAACTGCTCTGTATCAGTGTGAAGCACTGTTGCGCGAGCCTGTAGAACATGCAACAGAGCCGTGTTTTCCCGCGGTTAGATCAGTACATTACATTTCAGATGTGCGCATCTACCACACATCAGATTGCCATAAAATGACCAGAACTACAGGTAAATACACAAATGTGCTGTTCACACAAGCAACAGTGTTACTTATTTTACCAGTAAGATACCATTCACATGTTTCAAAACAACGGTGAACTCTGTAATGTCAATTATCCACCTGCCTAATTCAAGTTTCGTCCCATATATTCAGACTTTCATTCCATATATTCAAGTTTCATTCCATATAATCAAACTTACATTCCAGATATTCAGACTTTGATTCAATATATTCAAACTTTCATTCCATTTATTCAAGTTCCATTCCATATATTCAGAATTTTATTCTATATATTCATATTCCATTCCATATATTCAAACTATCATTCAATATATTCGTTTCATTCCAGATATTCAGACTTTCATTCAATATATTCAAACTTTGATTCCATATATTCAACTTTTTCATTCCGTATATTCAGAATTCCATTCCATATATTCATACTTCCATTCCATATATTCAAACTTTCATTCAATATATTCACAATTCCATTCATATATCCATACTTCCATTCAAACTATTCAAGTTTCATTCCATAAATTCCCATTTCCATTCCATATACTCAAACTGCATATTATAAATACCATAATTTCCTGAACGGCATGCCATACAGACAATATACATATATATATATATATATGAGTGATTCTATAATTGCAGGTACATTTGGTGTCCGAAGTCATTATTTTTTTCTGCTTTTTTAAAATGCTTATATTTTTACTTATTTTAATACTGTGTTACTCATTGTTATGAATTACAAGATGTTCCTTCCCATAACAATATAATATTTTTTGCAAAAAGTGTCTTAAATAGCTGAAAATCATGATTTCTTGTTGTCCGAATTAGTCAGTGCATTTTTTCCATCATATATCGTGTAATCAAAATATTTTATTGTACTTTTCTTTTTGTAATATTTCATTCATTTTATTTATAAAAGCCCTAAAGAGTCATTTACCTAATTCTACAACATTATTTAAAAAAAAAAAAATGTGTCCGTAAATCTTGCGTCAACTCTGTTACCGTACCA